CAACCACAACAGCAACCCCAAACACAACAGCAACCCCAAACACAGCAGCAACCCAACCACAACAGCAACCCCAACCACAACAGCAACCCCAACCACAACAGCAACCCCAACCACAACAGCAACCCCAACCACAACAGCAACCCCAACCACAACAGCAACCCCAACCACAACAGCAACCCCAAACACAACAGCAACCCCAACCACAACAGGCACAATCTGGTCCTCCAGTCCCTCGCTTTGAACGTCATCTGACGTCGCTTCAAGCGATACCATACACCAATTTCTTCAACATCCCGCTAATGGGCCGCGGCTGCCCCCTTGACATCTACCTCGATGACAAGACACCAACCCGAGGCACCGAAATCAACCTCATCAACAACGCAGATTACGAGATTCTTATTGGCGGAATCGAACTCAAACAGGAGGATATGTTTTCATTAGATCCAAGCAGCACGCGAACGATTCCAACGAGGCGTTGGCCCCAACAGCTGCAACTTTCAGGGGGCGGCGGTAGGGGGACTTACATCATCGCCCTTCACCCCTCCTTTCCTCGTGGAACATCGTTGATGTTGTTGGTGAACGTTTATGTGTTTTTGGAAGGGCGCTACACTCCGTTTTCTGCGCGATTCACTGTATGAAAAAAATAAAGGAATGCGTGTGTGTGTGTGTGAATTCAGATGCAAGCCTGGTCTAAGATATACCTTTCAGTCGTATGCTTACCGCAGCACAAGCATTAAAGGTTTGAGCCCATTCTCGAATGAGAACAGATATAACGAACGATTTACCACATTCATTTTTCTTTTTTTTTGCCAATTTACCTCATGCTTTTGCTCAGTTCTATTTAATACTTTCGATTTTTTTTATTGCTCGAATTTCTTTTTGTGTGGCGCATCACGCAGAGTCGGTCGCGTTAAGTGTCTTTTTTTATTCCCACTGTGATTACAGAGGGCGTGTCCTATTTCGATCATGAACCCAGTCAATTTTTTTGAACCTGTTTTTGTTTTAGAAATTTGATTTGAATATAAATAAGTTGCTGTTCAATTTAGTTTTATCTCTTTCTCGTTTTTTTTTGTGAATGTATGTCTACAATGCTCTTCTGTGTCATTTAATATAGTTGAATGTGTTATCAAACAGTGTTTAAGTAGACTTAACTGGTGCGTTTCACAAGGGGAAGGGGTCGATGCATCTTTGCAAAAGCTCTCGGGGTCCTTAATAAATTAGAAAGGACTCCCTCCAGCGCGAAAACTATAAGGATACAAATCTAGAAGAGGGGAAGTGAGTAGGAGTGAATAAATCAAAAAATCCTAGGACGGTATTGGAAATTCCACGCTAAAAAACGAGTCCAAATATTCCGTGTATCGAATTTATTGAAAGCAAACAGTAAATCAGCAAAGAATAACGGTAGTTTGCTATCTTTATTTGCATAATACGATTACTTCCTTTTGAGGCGGAGTGAAAGTTGAATGCATGCATACATACTGTTAATGCTATTCTACTTTGACTCTATTTACACTGCAAGCCTTTATATTTTCCATATTTCCCAAATTTGTTTCTCGAAAAGACATTCAAGGAAGAGGATAGCAAAGGCCAGGACAAAAAGAAAGAGACATATCGTTCTGAATGTGTCCTCCGCCCCCTAGTACCATTCGCGGTAGCCAAATGGTTCTGAGAATAGGAGTCCTAGGGGTCCCACGCGATTTTGATCAGTTTTGGACTCATCTGCATCGTTCTGGCAACCGGTTAATGTGTTTAGCCGCGGCAGCTGACTTTCTAGGGGCCCAGTCATATGTCCATGCAGTTTTGAAGCGACTCTCCGAAAGTGAAGCGGGAATGGAGACGGTTGGCGCGCCTCTCGTTTTGGAGTCCTTCACGGATGTCGTCCGTTCGTCTGCGGTGGATGTGGTCTACATCACCCTGCCAGTGGCGCAGCGGGATCACTGGGTGCGGGTGTGCATTGAGGCTCGTAAGCACGTGGTTGGGGGTGCCCCATCCGCCGCGGCGCCGGATGCGGAGCGGCTCCTTTGCTGGCTCGGCGGGATGTCGGCCGCCCGGCTGCTTTACCTGGACGGCACCCCCACCGCGCACGGCGGGCCGATGATGACTCGGGTTGCCCAGCTGGTGGGCGACCTGGGCCGCGTGCGGCACATGGAGCTGTGCCTCGTCGGTGCGCCCGGCCATGCAGGGGGGGGAGTGCTGGGGGACCTCGGCTGGGAGGCCATCGGCAAGATCCTGCACCTCGTCGACTTTACTGTCCCCGTGGGCGTGTCGGGGCGCATCGTGTCATGCGCGCAGGATGGATCTATAGCGGATTTTGAAGCGCACATGCACTTCCTTGTTGAGGGTGTCCATGTGACAGCCACTTTCGACTGCCGCTACGTGGAGGCGCAAGTGATGGCGCCGAAGAGTCACATGTTAATTATCACCACTGGGGGGACGTTGGAAGCTATCGAGGCGGAGGAAGGGGGAGGTGCTGTGCAGAACACAGTGGGAGACAAGGGACTTTGTCTTCGTGTGGTGCGCTCTGCTCTGAAGCCGCTGGAGATGATTCAAGGAGCATTTCAAGCTTTGGATTCGGCCACTGCTCCCTCGAGTTCTTTCGTGTTGGCATCACCAACAATCGCGATGGAAGCAATAACAACAGAAGAGTATCTCAGTCCCCCCTCGGAGGCCAGCGGTCACGCCTTATGGTTGCACCTGCGCGAGTCCCTAACTCAGCTAGGCACCGAAGGGCGACTTCTGATCGACTCAGAAAAAGGCAAAGATTGGGGACGTAAGATTTATCTAACACAATTGATTTTAGACACACTTTTGAAGTCCGCAATGACAGGTCAAGGGGAAAGTAAGGATAATCTTGTGCCCCCCCTCCCCTCTTCTCTTCATTGTGAGCAATTAGCCTCTACAGTTGGATGAAAACGAGTTCGAGCAATTGCAATGATGGCTAGAGGTGTTTCCTGAATTCTTGCGTTGAGGGCGACTTGTTATACTCCTTAAAGTTCTTCATTATTTGCTCCAAGAGCTATGTTGGGGTTGAAAGTTATTCCATGAATGCAAGCATTACTTAATCAGAATCAAGTTCATTATATTACCATTTTTCCATCTCTTTAGACTTCCTTTTATATCTTCATCAATTTCTGTTGTTCTTTCTCTTTGCAGTCGAATTGAAAATGATGCAAGACAGGAAAACAATAATCAGTGATGGTCTTACTCTTTAGTTGCGAACTGTTCAGTATTATTCTAGAATGAGGGGGTTCGATTTTTCCTTTTCATTTGCTTTTCCCGCGCGACAGAGGGAAAGAAACAATGTATTTGAATGACGCAGCTTCAACTATATTGTGCATTAATTTGCACGTCTGTAGATCTGTAAATACAGAAATAAAAATTCGTACATGATGGTATACCATGAAGGCAAAATTAGACCTTTTATTTGTTTAAAACAAATGTGCTTCGACTACTATATGAAGAAAATCATTACCAAATCAAAAAAACATGATTTTTTTTCAACGATTATGAATTTAGAAAACAGAAGATTAAAACAAAAATTCATAATACCATAGGGCCTACGAACGCTCCCAACGCTTGCTATGCTGGGATAGAAACCAATTAGATTGATATTTATTGTTATTGTTTTGATTATTATTTGCTATGAGACACATATATACTTCCAGAGAAACGGATGATGCACATTACACCACCCTTACCTACAACGGTGCGGAGTCGTCCAAAAACGAGGTCGTTCGCAAGGGGGGTGCCGTTGTATTTATAAGGGACGCAGAGTCTGACAAGGAGCAGTTTCTCCCCATCTATCACCACCACAGCATCACGTTACGTGATTTGGCTGAGGAATTTAACATCAGTAGTGTGCTTGAGTGCGACGCACAGGGCAGCGTCCAGCCCCGCACCGTCGCGTTGGATTCACCCTCAGATATCTTACACGCGGGGCGACATTACATCGCTCACTGTGATGCAAAGTCAGAGGCGGGTGCCAGTCGCGTTACCTTTCGTGGGAGGATCGTCGTCAAAGAATATGAACTGGACCATAGCACCCCCAACTCGGCTTGCTTCGACTCTGGACAAGACATGTGCGATAAGGGCGGCTCAGGGGAAAAGACAGGCTCCCAAGGATTATCCCAGGACACCGAGACCCATCTATTGAGCAGCGGGAATCCAAATAAGGAAAACGAAGTGGACAGAGTATCTTCCCGTTCTGTGTCCCGTGCGGCGTCACTGGGAACTACAGATGTACGGAAGCGTGCACGCGCGGACGACGTTGATCGGACTTCAAAGGATCGCTCAATTTTGCACCACCACGACACGGATTGCACGGCCACCGTGCAGGTTCGCTGCACAAGCTCTAGTGACAGTACTGGCAAGGGGGAACAGTCGATCCTCTCGGAGTGTAGCCAGCTCGAAAAAGAACCACATAATTGGTTCTTACCGTTTCAAGCTGACCTACACGGCGATGGGGTCCAAGTAATGATTCAATTGGAGGACCTCAAAGCCATTTGTGAGCAAGTTGATGCACAAGAGGCTGAGTTTGTTAGACGCCGCGAAGAGGCTGAAAGAATCATGGAGGAGTCTAGAAAGAAGCTACTTCTTTTAAAAGAGCTTCGATGGAGTTAGTTCGCGTTATATGATTTCCTCTACATGAAAGTGACAAGGGATTCCGCGCTCTCTTTTAGAGGATTGTTTGTGCTGCTAGATTTTATAGATTATATAAATATATACATATATATATATATATATATATATATATATATATATATTATTTATTTATTTATTTATTTATTAGTTATTACTTATTTAAGTTTAGTTT